TTTTCCTGTAAGGGCCACATAACTTTTCCCTTCTCTGGTGGGGGGCCGGAGTCAGTTTGTAACAGAAAAAGTGTGACTATTGCAGGAGTGCCTAAATGTAAAAATGTATTGTTTTCCAGAAAGCACAATCAAATAAGCCTCTCTGGGTTCTTCATTCTGCTGAGCTAACAGTCCACTTTTTAGCTTTGAGAGTTTGTTTGCTTGCATTTGGCCTTGCAAGCTATCATACTTGTCTTTGTGACGGGATTCATAGTGTCGCCGCAGATTGTATTCTTTGAATAACACCACCGCCTCTTGACAGATGAACAAAAAAAAAATCGTTTGTCCACTGCAGTTTAAATACCCTGCATTCTGAATCTATTTTTCTCTTACCTAATCTTTTCACCATTACTCCGTTCTCTCTTTGAGAGGGGCGGGTTTAGGATTTTTTTCTGGGGGTTGCCAGATAGGGGCACATACCGCAGAAGGGTGGAACAGAATGTCATGTTATATGCATGTTTGTATGAAATAGTTAATAATGAAAATAGTTCATAAATAAGGAACATTTTATTGCAAAAGTCCAACTTTATAATCAAATATAAATACACATATATGAAAAAAAACTAAATGCTCTCTGGTATTGTTCTGGGGGCCGGACCAAATGGGGAGGCGAGCCGGATTCGGCCCGCGGGCCGTAATTTGGGGACCACTGCCTTACAGAACGAAAATAAAGACGGTCAGCTGGCAGGTTGAACTGTTTCAGCTTCACTCATGAGGATTAAAGTTTTTTTTTTCAAATATCTTATTGTCAAAAACACACAACAGGTAATTTAAACATATTTCTTCTTTAGCACTCATTCAAACCTTATATCAATTTCTATAAGAAAGTGAACAAAAAAAAGTTAAACTCTGCCAAGGATTTTTTTAAATATGTAAAACTGGAGTGATTTTTTAAGCCAGTGGATCCTAAATTCCTGGTTTAATGCCTCCTGAGAGATTACAAAATGAGGGTGACAATTTCATTAGGAGTTACTCTTGCACAACTATGTTACAGTAAGATACTGATAAAACTGGAACATAGGAGGTTTAAACAGTGAGGTCACGGAAAATCAATGTTACTATTTATAGCTGTTTTCTTAGAGTATCTACAGTGAACACATCACTGCAGTCGGACAGCTGATTTAATCCTGAAAACCATCCTCACTGATTAGCTCTCCTGCCCTCTAGTGAGACATCTGATCACAGGTTACACGTCACAATAAATAAATAATGTCCTTTTCTTTAGTGTTGAAAAGAATGAAGAGGACGTAGATTTTGTCTTATGTCTGTGGTCTCTTAATTTAATTTACAACCTGTGGCCTGAAGTCATTTGTCTCAGTACCAGTGAGACAGAGATGTGCAGTGGGAGTGACAGATGAAGTGAAGGAAGAAGCTGGAGGTGACAGAGATTTTAACAAGATTAAAAAATGAGTATACCAGCGCTATGTTTGGACATGTGTAGAGAAGGGACAGTGGACAAGATGGTAGAGCTGCCAGGAAGGGAAAGATAAGAATACACAGGATGGATGCAGAGGGTTGGTTTGTCCACAAGGGTACAGAGGGATAGGGTGAGACCATATGTGACCCATCATATCGAAATGAGGATTAAGTCAAATTTGGTCAAAATGATCTCATTACATTTTCAGATTCTTGGCTTTAAAAGCTAACTTTTGATACCTGGATCATTCAGATATCATCAGTAAATCCATATATACTGTTTGTCTTGTTGGTTACAAAAATACATAAATATTTGGTCTGAATCCTAATTTTATGTCATTTTAATGAGGAATTTTTGATGTCCTTATAAAGAGGAAACCTCAAATTATATTTGAATATTGAGATTTCCCAGCTAAAAAGAAACAACACTTTGCTAGCTCACAGGGAAAATCTCAAAATTTTAAGGCGTTTTTCCTCAAAATCAGTTTTTTTTGTTGCTACTGCTCAAAAAAGTGCTTCAAATTTTTAGTTTTATGATTGTATTTCAGACAGTTCATTCAAATGATACATTGATGATGTCGTGGCAAGTTTATCAAGAATGCAGAAACACGTTGGAATGAATGCATCTTGAAGCTGTTCTGTACTCACTCTCAGCAGATGATGTTTCAAAAATCTTCTCAGGTTCTTCAACAGCTAAAAATAAAAATTCAATGTTCTTATTTTATTTATTCAAGATCATCCATCACAATCATCACCAGCGTATCTCTGTTGTTAAAACGATTTACCATAAAAAGGTTCTTTTCATCCAGCTGGAGTCACGGTCCTGAGCAGTCCAGTCCTTGCTCACTCGTATCAGTCCACCTGCAATGTGGCCTTGGTCCGTCGATCTCCTAGTGGTCTCTGCGACAACGCCAAACTGTTATGGTAATATTTATTTAACAAAGACAGAAATACGTGGTCCAAGAATGAAGGTACTCCATGAGATGATCAGCTGAGTTTTATTGCAACAACAGGAAACACAGACAACCTGGCCTGTCTCTGTGCCTCTGCTTCTCTCTGTCTCTCCACACTACTGTTGAACTGTCGAACACTGTGTCTCGAGAGGCCTCATATACTGTATATATTAACAAACACCATTCTGTCATCTTAGCCAGATTTGATACAAGGTCAATGGAAAACACAAAGATAAACACAAGTAATATCTAAGAATGACTGTTGTTAGCAAATCTTGTTCTGACTTTAATCATTCTGTCTGCAGATAAACAGCATGTCATGAAAACCTAGGTCATAAAAGGATGTCATGAATTACTTGCTTAAACATAAAGTATTAGTTCCACCACAATGACATTTATTCATAATATTTTGATAAAATGCATTTTTTGTTAACATTTTAGTCAAAACACTATATTTGCCTATTTCTCCATACACCGCTTTTAGACTTAATCCTCGTTTCGATGTGATGGGTCACATAGAGTTAAATATCACTAGAGTGAGCCCCTCCTATCACCACTGTTAGCATCTGTGACAACATGGAGGAGCAAAGATGGTGTCCAAAAAGGTCAACAGCTCTCTCCATTTCCAACCATCTCTACTGCTAGAAATAAGTCATTTTGTTCCCTTCTGATGTTGCTGAAGCAGACAGTTCACCTGTACGCACCTCAGAGCAGTAAGAGTAACCTCTGCTTTTCACTAGTTCCTCACAAGTTTCTCATTGACTTCAAACTTTCTTTCTGCAGCTCATTTTTTTAAACAGGTAGGCTACAGGAACAACATAAAACGCAGTTATCAAGCCTAGAGCGCCCTCTTATGGCTGCAGACGGTAATGTTTACTCCTTGGTTCATGTCAATCAGTATGAGCAAAAGGCATCAGTCAAAAAATGCACCATGGAGAGAAAAATAAAACAAAACATAGATAAGATCCTTTGTAGTATAAGTTGCAGGTACGAAAGAGGATTAGGGTCACTGGGAAGCTATTTTTTGATCCTAATCTCAGAATTCTGAGGGAAAAAAATCTGAATTTTGAGATTAAAGTCAGAATTATTTTTTAAATATTAAAAAAATATTAAATATTAATCTTTAAACATCAATATCTCTATCCAGATAAGAATTTTGTTAATATTATAGATAGTTTTTACAATTTTAACCAGCCCTTATCATTATTTTGCCAATATGTACAGTAATGCTAAATACAAACACTAACTGGCTGTCATTGCTACAGTCATGTGACCAAGACACACTCCAGCTGTGTTATAGAACCTCCATGATCTGCAGCTGAATGAAAATAATTCAGTCCAATGTTCACAGAAATTCAAGACATGCTTTATAACAGTTCAGTCTTCACTTTTTACAAACATATACAATAATAAAAAAATCACAACAGTCAATCATGACAGAGTCAGATGCACCGGTTCTGTTTAAAAGCAAGTATGAACGTTCTGTTAGGATCTCTAACAGAGCCGAAGATGTTCTCTGTTTGCAAGCAGGAAATATTCAGCTGCCAGTTATAAGACAGAGCTGAACTAGATTAAATTAACTTGGAAACACTTGGATGATGAGAAAACATTTAAGCCATTTTAGATGTTTTTAAATTCATCCTTAAGAAGGCAACTTTGTTAATAAAATAGGAATTTAAAAAAAGTCACAAAGCAGGAAAATGTTAAAATAGTAACAAGACGTCTCATATTCATTTGTTCCAAAAATCAGTCCCGCTGGGTTTTCTGACAGACTTAAAACCTGACACGGACCTGTCTGGATTTGTTATTTCCAACTCAAACAGGGAGGCTAGTTTTGTTCATTTGACAACAATAAAAGTAGTGCTTTTTTCCACACAAATACAGAGTTAGGACTAAACTAAAGAAAAGGTAGGTGTGTGTATTATTGCAGAACTCCCAAACTAAAGATAATTGAGGATTATTATATGCAAGACTGCTAAAGTGTTCAAAAAATTAGATTTTTACATTTGAAACCTTTACTTTTAAAATCTCATGAGTTAGTTCAAACCCATCTGAGACCAGTCATCATATTTCTGCTAGAGTATCTGTATAATGTGGAGTTGAGGACATCTCAAAGGTTTATAGAGCTGTTTTTGTTGAAACCAATCTGAAATCTTTGAGGTTATTGTTGTTTTAGGACAGCAGAACTCTGCGTTGGCCTCGACCTACTTGAATTAGCTTTTAACGTGTCCATCCAGTCAGACTTAACCTCTGGTTTTATCCAAACTGAGGCTGTTCAGGTAAAATATATGTTGCTCATAATCTCCTCAAGAGAACTTATTAAGCTAACAACAGCGTTGTGTTGGTGCAAAAATTAAAATAATAACTCAGCTATACAAGAATCATCAACCCTGTTCTGAGTCATGACTGTGAAAGCATGTAACATGTTCTGGACTTGTGTCGGGAGATGATGATGATAATAATAATAATAA